CCCCCACACTGACCCCCCCCACACTGACCCCCCCCCCACACTGACCCCCCCACACTGACCCCCCCCCCACATGACCCCCCCCCCACTACTGCCCCCCCCCCCACACTGACCCCCCCACACTGACCCCCCACACTGACCCCCCCCACACTGACCCCCCCCCACACTGACCCCCCCCACACTGACCCCCCACACACTGACCCCCCACACTGACCCCCCACCTGACCCCCACACTGACCCCCCACACTGACCCCCCCACTGACCCCCCCACAGTCACCCCACACTGACCCCCCCACACTGACCCCCCCACACTGACCCCCCCCACACTGACCCCCCCACACTGACCCCCCCACTGACCCCCCCACACTGACCCCCCCACACTGACCCCCCCACACCCCCACACTGCCCCCCCACACTGACCCCCCCCACACTGACCCCCCCACAAGTCACCCCCACACTGACCCCCCCCACACTGACCCCCCACACAGTCACCCCCCACACTGACCCCCCCCACACTGACCCCCCCACACTACCCCCACCCCCACACTGACCCCCCCCACACTGAACCGCCCCCCACACTGACCCTGCCCCCCCACACTGACCCCCCCCCCGCCCAACACTGACACCCCCCACTGACCCCCCCCACACTGACCCCCCCCCCACACTGACCCCCCCCACAGTCACCCCCACACTGACCCCCCCCACACTGACCCCCCACAGTCACCCCCACACTGACCCCCCCCCACACTGACACCCCCCCACTGACATGCCCCCCCCACACTGACCCCCCCCCACACTGACCCCTCCCACCACACTGACACCCCCCCACATCACCCCACACTGACCCCCCCCCCACACTGACCCCCCCCACACACCCCACAGTCACCCCCACACTGACCCCCCCCACTCACCCCCACACTGACCCCCCCCACCACCCCCACGCCCCCCACACTGACCCCCCCACACTGACCCCCCCCCACACTGACCCCCCCCCACACTGACCCCCCCACAGTCACCCCCCACACTGACCCCCCCCCACACTGACCCCCCCACAGTCACCCCCACACTGACCCCCCCCCACACTGACCCCCCCAGTCACCCCACACTGACCCCCCCCCACTGACCCCCCACATCACCCCCCCACTGACCCCCCCCCCACATGACCCCCCACACACCCCCCACACTGACCCCCCCACACTGACCCCCCCCCCACACTGACCACCCACACTGACACCCCCCCACTGACCCCCCACACTGACCCCCCCCACACTGACCCTCCCCACACTGACCCCCCCCCACAGTCACCCCCACACTGACCCCCCACATCACCCCACACTGACCCCCCCACACTGACGCCCCCCACAGTCACCCCCACACTGACCCCCCCACAGTCACCCCCACACTGACCCCCCCACCACTGACCCCCCACACTGACCCCCCCACACTGACCCCCACACTGACCCCCCACAGTCACCCCCACACTGACCCCCCCACAGTCACCCCACACTGATCCCCCCCACAGTCACCCCCACACTGACCCCCCACACTGACCCCCCCACAGTCACCCCACACTGACCCCCCCCACACTGACCCCCCCCACACTGACCCCCCCCACACTGACCCCGCCACACTGACCCCCCCCCCACACTGACACCTCACACACTGACCCCCCCCACACTGACCCCCACAGTCACCCCCACAGTCACCCCCACACTGACCCCCCACACTGACCCCCCACACTGACCCCCACACTGACCCCCCCACAGTCACCCCCACACTGACCCCCCACACTGACCCCCACACTGACCCCCCCACAGTCACCCCCACACTGACCCCCCCACAGTCACCCCCACACTGACCCCTCCACACTGACCCCCCCCCAGTCACCCCCACACTGACCCCCCCACAGTCACCCCCACACTGACCCCCCCACAGTAACCCCCAACACTGACCCCCCACAGTCACCCCAATACTGACCCCCCCCCACAGTCACCCCCAACACTGACACCCCCCACAATCACCCCAACATACACTGACCCCCCCCCCAACCCCATAGTCACCCACAACATACACTGACCCCCCCCCCCACCCCCCACACACTGTTCCATTGCCGAGACGCTGAGCGCCCCCCACAGTCATCCCCAACATACACTGACCCCCCCCCCCCACACACGCTGTTCCATTGCCGAGACGCTGAGCGCCCCCACAGTCATCCCCAACATACACTGACCCCCCCCCCACACACGCTGTTCCATTGCCGAGACGCTGAGCGCCCCCCGATCACCTCACCCGCTCTGACTCCCAAGTCTTCTCCCCACTCCACATACAAACAATAAACACACAATACAAAACTACATTTGTAAAGCGCCTCTCACATCGCACTGGAGCCTGCAGATCATTCAACCCCCCCCCCCCCCCCCACACCCCCCCCACCCCCCCCCACCACACCACCCCCCCCTCACCCCCACCGTCACACCAGCCACACGATTAACCGTGTGTAATGTATCCTGTCGTCTGAGCACTAAGACCCTCCTGAGGAGACAATGGCTCCTTAATTATGAAGATTGAACTTGCCTTACGTCTGAAAAGTAAAGTGTTCTCTTCCTGTTCCCCTCTTACTCCCGTGCTATTAAAGTGTTGTGTTCTTTCTGGAAAGAGCTTTGCGTTTCGCAGCATATTATGTGCACACAGTCACTACACTCGACAATAAAAAATCCTTTAAAGCGCTTTGAGACGTTGCAACAACGTGATAAGGTGCTGCATCAAACACAAGGGTCGTCACGTTATCATTGATAGGATTTGCAGCATTTATCATAGATTTAGAAAATTAGAAATGTTTAACGTGGCAAACAGATTGCAAAATATAGGAACTTTAGACTTCCATATTTGTTTAATTGTAATTATTATTAATAATAATCCTTGCATTTTGATGCAACTCCTTACATTATATACATCTCAAAGTGCTTCAGAGGATTTACTGTAAAGTTTAGTGGCTCTGTATTTTGTGGGCGCACTCAGCAGCCAATTTGCGCACAGCAATGTCCCCGCAAGGATTTTATCCGGGGGACTGTTGGACACTGATGTGCGAGGGAAGCAAAATTGCCGAGCGTATCGCATCGTTACACAGACAAGTTCACCTGAACCTCGGTTTAATGCTAAATAATTAAACTGCAGGGTAGGTATCACGTGAACACACCTGTGAAACTAGAGAGTGCTACAGAGTGACATCTCCATATCAGACAGAGTGCTGGCAATGAGATGAACGTCGGCGGTGAGGAGCTCCAACCGTTTTATGACGATGCCAGGATTCAACTGGGCAAAGCTCTCGCTGTCGGGTGGAAAATTAAACCAACAAAACACGTGTCTTTCCCGGCAGATGCAAAAATTGTCTCTGGATCTATTGAGCCCTGCAATCCATGGGGAGCCGGTAGGATCCGCATTTACTCGCCTCTGTGTCCCTGTACCGTCAGACTGTGTTCCTCCTGGGGCCTAGCAAAACAAGTCTTGTCAAATACTGCAATAATGAGGCTCCAAACCTTCTCACGGTCTTGGCTTCAAGACCATTGAAGGCAAACACGGCAACCAATTTACGCGCAGCCACAGCCTCTAGGCCGTTTGTGGGCTGTCGCTGCGCGTAAATTGGTTGCCGTGTTTGCCTACAAAACAGGCAGTCACTACACTTCACAGTAAAAACCCCGTGAAGTGTTTTGAGATGTCTTCAAAGAGACGAAAAGGCGCTATATCAAATGCAAGGTTGATTATAAGGAGTTGTGGAGTTAAGGAGTAAACAACAACAACAAGGTTACATTTGTATAGCGCCTTTCACATCAGGAGGACGTCCCAAGGCGCTGGACAGTGTACAGCATTTTCAAACCTGGACAGGCAGATGGGACCTCGGTTTAATGTCTCATCTGAAGGACGGCACCTCTGACAATGCAGCAACACACAGCACTGCATAGACTTTGGGTTCCAGTTCCTAACATAGAGCTTAAATCCACAACCTTCTGACTGAGAGGCGAGAGCGCTACCAACTGAGCCCGGCTGACGACACCGCCCTGTGCTCACTTGATATCGAAACTGTTTGCCCAAAGTGGGACAGTGTTCAGTTTCCCAGCGCTGCTGCTGTTCCTGGCTCTTCCTGAAGAATGTTGTTGGAAAGATTCCTTTTTTCCGCGCAATGCACAAGAGGATGAGCACCAAAGGATTTGAAACACCGAAAATCCACAACACAAGGCTTTAAAAGCTCACGCAACTTTGGTGCTTAAACATCTTGCGGTCCCGCCGTGCGTGAAGCAAATTTTATTGGCAGCTTTGAATGATTTTCAAAATTAAATAAACATGGATATTTTGTACGTTTTGGAAATTTTAATACGTATTTAAAAGAAAATTGCTTAACTTCCTCGTCCCTGAAAAGCAAGAACGTATTAATATAGTAATCCGTTTGTAAATGTAATCAGAAATCAATGGACTAATTGATAAATATGCATATTTGCAAATTATTTTTTTAATTAAAACAATTCCCAATTTCAGCCCCCGTCCTCATTATAAAGCTCCCGGCAATAAGCCTGCATTTTATAGATGACTAGTCGAGCTTGGGTTCCAAGCAACTTCACGTCAAGTTTTTGTGTGAGTTGCGCTGTGCTGCTCCATGTGCTCTATGTTGGGCAAACGTCACAAGGTGCAAATGCTTGAGAGTTTTTTTGGGGTACGTCTGAGAGTTGCAGAGACCCCATCACCGTGCTTTAGGAATATCCTAAACCAGACCGAGCGTTCTACATACGTGTACCATCTAGACATGGAAGGCTCCCCGCGCTTGGGATGGAATGCTCACTCTCTTTTTTCAAGAGACGCACCCTGCATTCATTCAACAACAACAACAGGTTACATTTGTACAGCGCCTTTCATGTCAGGAGGACGTCCCAAATTCCTGTTTGCCGGAACACTATAGTGAAACCGGAAGTTCCTGAAGTGAAGCGACTGACTAGTCACGGTAGGTCTGAAGAACAGTAACAGCCCTTAAATAATTTACATGATATCATTTGTGAACTGAGAAGGCAACTCGTAGCTCAGGGAGTCCTGTCTCAGTGGTTAGAGCGCTCGCATCGCAAGCGAGAGACTTGGGTTTGATTCCCAGGCAGGGCAAAACGTTGGGCAAGTTTCCTTACTCCACACCCAAGCGCCTCTGTTTATCCAGCAGTAAAGAGGAACCCGGTTGTTAGTCGATTGGTGGATCGCTTTTCCAGGGGTAATAATTCCTTCGAGAAAAAATAATAAATTGGTCACTTCAATCCACGACTGTTTGTGAGACACTGCTGTGCGCATTGGCTGCTGATTTCGCCCACAAAACATACAAACATACAATGTTCAGAAAAATTGTCATTTACAATCATTTGTGCTCATTCTCAAATGATTTAACTTCCCCCCCCCCCCGCTGGGAAAGTATTTCACCGCAAAATATACAGTCAATTCACTTTACAGTATAGTCTGTGAAGCGCTTTGAGACGTCTCAAAGACTTGATAAGGTGCTGTATCAAATGTAAGGATCATTATTATTGTTTCTTCAACATGGTGTCGATCTATCAGTTTTCTCATTCAACTTATTGGGTTCTGCGTCTAAATGCAATGTATGGTAAAGGTTGTGATCCTTCGGTGTGTGAGGAATGTACGGTTAATGGTAGGAATGACCTCAATGCTGGAGAGGGCTGCAGTCCCCTTTGAAGGGAAAATAAATGCAAAAACTACAATGAGGGAGTGTTAGAAAGGGGAGGTGTTAATGAGCCGAGTGCAAGAAGGCACTCTTTCTTTCTTTAACAAGAATTATTACCCCCAGAAAGTCTGTTCTTTCCCTGTTGAAACCAAAAGGAATGTTGAAGGTACAATCTGCTCCAGGGCAAGCACGCGAGGGCGAAAATGCGCCATTTGTTATGATAATTATTACACTGGGGACTTCATCACATGGTCAGAAATACCGCATTCCCCGAACCAGTTAATGATGTCCCAACAAAACACCAAATACTGCAGATGCTGGAAATCTGAAACAAAAACAGAAGTGGCCGGGAAGGTCAGGCAGCATCTATGGAGAGAGGAAAGTGAGTCAACGTTTTGGGTCCACGACCCTTCGTCAGAACTGGGGCATGTTTTCTAGTTTCCCTCCCAAACATGCCCCAGTTCTGACGAAGGGTCGTGGACCCGAAACGTTGACTCGCTTTCCTTTCTCCATAGATGCCGCCTGACCTGCTGAGTCTGCCCTGCGATGTCTGTGTCCTTCAGAGACGCTCAAGATCAGCTTGGCTCAATTGGTCGCGCTCTTGCCTCCGAGTCAGAAGGTTGTGGGCTCGAGCCCTTGATCAGACTGGCAATGCAATCCAACGCTGGGGGAATGTTGCATTGTCTGAGGTGCCATCGTTCAAATTAGGTGTTTCAAACAACCGACTGCCTCTTCGGGTGGATGTTAAAAATCCAACGCCACTATTCGAAAAGAGCAGGGAGTTTTTCTTGGCCACAAATATCCCCCCAGATAAAATTGGTGATTCACTCATGGCTGTTTGTCGGATTTTTTTTGTGTGCAAATTGGCTGCTGCGTTCATCCACAAATACTAGTCACTGTACTCTATAATAAAATAAATCCTGCAAAGTGTTTTAAGACATTTCGACGTGTGATAAATCGCTATACCAAATGGATTATTATATTATTATTAATATTACTATTATAATAATCTCTCTGTCTGTGTTTCAGTGAGACCTACTGTGGAGGAGATCATTGCATCCTACAAATTAAGCTGTAAGAAGCTGGGTGTGAAGCCCATTGACAAACTGTTGAAGCAACTGCAGGTATACTTTACCCGACATAATCAATTGATTTCAGGTTTAAACTTCTTCTCAGATTTGGAGGAATCACTGGGATTGAACCAACATTTGTCAGCCAGGCTCAGTGGGTAGCACTCTCGCCTCAGAGTCTGAAGATAGTAGGTTCAAGCCCCACGTCAGGACTATGAACTCATGCAGTCTAGGGCTCTAGGCTGATACATTAATACAATACTAGCCATGCAAAGCTTCATCAGAGGTGACGTCCTTCAGAAGAGACATTAAATTGAGGCCTGGTGCTTGTACAGGTGGGCTTTAAGCATCCGGTATCTCCAGGTATTTTAGCCAACAATAATGTAGCAGATTTAAAACGGAATTTAAAAGGAACTTCTTCCTCTGTGGGTGTTGAGAACATAGAACTCACTGCAGTGGAAGCTGAAAGCATCAACATATTTAAGAGGACACTTGATGCATACCTGAGGAAGATGGGATTAGAGGGGTTTGGGAGAGGGAATTATAATCGGTGAAAGCTCATGTGGAGTCTAAACACTGTCACAGACTAGTTGGGCCGAATGGCCATTTTCTGCGCCGCAATCTTACACATAATTCTACGCTGTTCGTCCACCACAAATTAATGACCAGGAAATTAAAGACTGGTCCATTCCAGACTTTATGTACCATGCCGTTTGGATACTCTTAAGCAAGGAGAAGGGTTTCCGCACGTGTTAGACCAACAAGAAACCAACAAGAAAATATTTTATTAATGCCGCAAAGATATCACTTTGGCACTTGGAGGCGATTGTCACACGGAAACGCATTTAAATGAAGGAATTATTATTCAGTGGTGCACAGGGCTCCAACTGGCGAGAATATCATTTTAATGGTACAGAACTGTGTTTTACATGCCAGCCCAACACATAGCTCGGGACCTTTTCTTCTTAGACGTCGCTTTTGAAATGTAGGTGGGAAGCGGGATTTCTATTTCCATTAATGGATGAGTGAGTTTTCGCACAGCTATTCCCTGGGCAAAGTATTGAAGACATTGCATTTTTTCCTCTCTCTCTCTCCTCTCTCTCTCTCTCTGACGAGTATCGTGTACCCGAATAGACTTGAATTGAATTGGAAGGTTGATCTCTACACCAGCTCTCCCAGCCTACGCTCTTAATCACTGCACCGCTCAATGTAACAAGAACATTTCACACTGTATTAATATTAACGTGAAAGTGCTAATGAGGGAACTGGGCATTAACAGGCTAGGCACAAGTAGTTAAAGAGCGGAATCTGTGGGGAGATTTTAAAAAAAAAGTGGATAATGTAATAAGTGAAGTGAGAAATGGTAGAGCTACTGGGGAAAGACATTATTTTAAATGAAATTATACAGATTGCAGATTGAAGAAAAGCATTAACACCTTGTGTAATGAGATAATCAGGGTTGCAGAAGCCAAGGAGGAATTCCACAGGAGTTGCCTTTTATTTTCGTTCCCGCTAACTTTTTCTTTCAGGAACGAACGGTATCGTAAAAGATATCGTAAAAGGAATCAGCTGCAGGGGTGTGGGGCAAGGGCAGGCAACTGGGACTGAAAGGATTGCTCTCTAAATGAGCTGGCACTGACTGAGAGTTCCATACACCAACACATGGAAATTCTTGCGTGTTGGAATGTGCGCTCTCTCCCTGAGGGACTCACTCTGCTTACCGAATTCTGGAGAGTATTAGGCACTCTCCCTGAGGGGGCGCACCTCACTTAACTAATTCTAGAGCGTATTAGGCGCAGGCCGGCAAGAGCTGAATTAAACTCTTAGTTACCATTCAGTAGTCCGTTATAAATCCAGATTAAAGTAATTAATACACAATTTTGCCACATACCCCGATTTGGGATTCCATTTTGATCTTCAAGTGCAGAATGAGAATAATTACAGGAGAAAGAAACAACAGGACTTAATCATGTGGCATCTTATTGGACTTGCTGTAATTGGGGGATTAGCAATGAGACTTCAAATACTGAAGGGAGACATCACTAGGGAGTCCAGGGGCAAGGTGCGAACTGTGTGTGTGTTAAATAATAAAATAATAATAATAATAATCCTGGCATTTGATACAGCGCCTTATCACGTCTTCGTGACGTCTCAAAGCGTTTCAGAGGATACACTGTAAAGTGAATTGACTGTATGTTTTGTGGGTGAAATATTTTGCCAGCGGGGGGGAGAAAAAGTAAATTCATTTGAGAATGGGCACAACTGATTGTAAATGGCAATTTTTGCAAACATTGCATTTCTCGTACAGTAACACGGAGAAGACAGAAGCCATCCTCCTTGGTTTCCGGCCATGTCTTTTCACCTGTGGCTTTGGCCTCGTCAACCTCCCAATCCCTCAAACTCACTGAACCAGTGCACAACTCAGGCGTCTGGTTCGATCCCCAACTGTCCTTCCTACCGCATCCAACCCTTGACTGGAACCTCTTAAAAGCATTCACGCCTCACAAGACCCCACCTGCTTTATACGCCACCATACCACCCACTCCGCGACGTATCCTAGACTCAGGCTTCGGGTCTCAGGCCTCTGTTCCCTGGACGGGCACCTTTTCCTGCAGCGACAGAGAGAGAGAGATTGCTCTGGAAGCTCGGTCACCCCTTTTTATATGGGAAATGCTCCGTGCCAACCTCCCGCTCTCTGGTACAACCCAAAAGCTCATCAGAGCCACCTTCCTCACTGCCAGCTCTCAGAGTCGGTGAATATTTCCTGTGAAGCTTATTCATACGATACTTTTGGTGATGCATTAAATAGTTTTTCTTGGAGGAGTAGCTTTTGGTCTTGGACTGTGTACTGTGCCACAGACTGTCCCAATTTAGGATGAGATTTCTGCAAGGCAATGCAGCAAAAAAAAAACAAAGTGGAAATATTATGATGGTCATTGGAATTTTTTTGTGTATGTTTTAATTTTGTAATGATAAATTAAGTTGCTAATTTTGGCTTTGCTCTTTGTAGACACTGCAGGTTTAATTGCTAATTGTTAACAATGAATATATTTGCATAATAATAAGCTTCAAATTTACATCTTCAATGTGTTTCTTTCAAAGGATACATGATAAAAAGGTCATGTTGTTTAAATAATTCATGCATTATTGCAATAAAGAAGCTATTACTGTACGCGCCTGCATATATATTGACTTTTGAAGCAGAAATATTCAGCCCTGTGGAGAAATTAATTTTTACAGCTTATAGCATGCTGGCATACATTTTACTGACTAAATCATCATTTTCCAAGAGAGATTCCTTGCAAGCTCTCGCTCCCCAAGCAAGCTTACGGATTCATTGTCATTCTGATCTGGCAACAGTTAATGGTGACCGCATTAGGAGATGCTCCAACATCAAATCAATCCAGAAGAGGAACATAGGAACAGGAGTAGGCCATTCAGCCCTTCGAGCCAGTTCCACATTTAATTAGATCATGGCTGATCTGCACCTCAACTAATCCTTTCAATTCCGATAGCGAGTTCTCAAGTCAGTTCCCAGCGGGACAAAAATCCACCACAAAAAACTAATGGCCCAGGATTCGGCACTTAGTACATCAACCTCAGTCTGAGCTGCCGTTGAATAGAGATTGAAAAGAATGGAAGTGTCACTGTGCTGCAGTACAGGGACCTTTCTGAGGTGAGGTTTACTCTTCGTTCCTTGGAGTAAAAGCCACCCTTTGTCTGTGGTGCAATTTCCTTAAGTGCATGAGATTTCAGGAACCCAAAGCCAATCCAGGAGATCAGTGACGAAGGGTCGTGGACCCGAGATGTCGATTCACTTTCCGTTCTCCATAGATGCTGCCCAACCTGCTGAGTCTTCCCAGTGCCGTCTGTTTTTGTTTCAGGAGATCAGTGATTCAGAGTCACCCGAGAGTTTGACAGTCCTAAGAAGAGCCATCCTGGGAAAACTTGCGACTTTAGGTTTTGGGGCAAACATCAGTGGGAAGTTTGGGAGTTATAGTAATAAATAATAACCCTTGCTACTCACTGTAAGAACATTTGTTTCATACTTTTTGTTTTTTGCTTTCTAGGAAATCACGGAGGTGCACCATAGGATTAAGTGTTTAGACCTGCAAGGTAAACTATTACCCTTCACGCATTACCCGTCATGCCAGACGATGTATAGAGAAGGAATAACATAGCTCTGTGTTAGTCAAGACTTAATCCAAGTCCGTGGTCAGCCAACAGGAGTCACTATTAAGTGAGATATTTTTTAATCTTGCTCCCCCCACCTCACTTAGAGGTGAGCTGCCGAGCTCCTAGCCCTATATGTCAGGCTGACCTACAGTCAGGTTACCCACTGTAGAGAGTAACGATGTGCCAGTCAGCCAGTCATACCTGTAATGTGTTTCCGTGGTTCATTGTTGGGCTGCTGGAGTCTGACTCTGCAATGTCTACCTTGGGGAGTGCTCATGTCTCTTGGGTGGGGTGGGGGGGGCATCCCATGTTATGTGGCTACCGGTGACAAAGCCAGAGGAGAAGGGCCTAGAGTTTGTGCTTGTCCGATGGCTGCCAGCCGAGCCTGTGAGAAAACTGAATGTGCGTGTGTGTCTCTGGTTTTTGCAGGTGAGGTATTGGACTATGAGAGCTGTGAGTCTCTCGAATCAGTCTTCCGATCCGTCCGGTTTGAATGGGTCAACTTGGAGCGAGCAAAGCTGGATGAAAATGTAAGGGCGTCAATCAAATCCCTGCCACTGTATTGGCCTACCATACCATATCTCTGACCCATCATTGAAGCAGCAGAGGGAGAATATTATAATAATAACAATAATAATCCTTGCATTTGATATAGCACCTTATCGCATCTTCAAGATATCTCAAAGTGCTTCACGGAGTATACTGTAAAGTGTATTGACTGTACATTTTGTGGGCAAAACGTGGCAGCCAGTTGCTGTGCTTTCAAGTCAAAACAGAATTTATATCATTTCACAGACCATTGCCGTGTGTCTTTGCCTTTACATTTCTGGGGTTCGGGTTCCAAGCCTCTGACAATGATGCTCTAATAATCACTGGCACACGCAAGAGGAAGGTGAGATCAAGCTGTGGTTCTGGGTGGCTGCAGACAGACAATCTCCCGGCCTCCGCTTGGCATCTCCCCGGCACTGACTCAGCTGAGAAAGCAATGACTCGCCCTAGGGGAGCTGTGGGCATGGAGGTGCTATTAATTTCCTCGCTGCCCCATTAACCCACCGCCCACTGCAAGGTTGCCGATTTTGACTCCAAAAAAAGGAATTGCAAGTGCAGAAGATTTAATTAATTTCAATCCCACGGTTTATTACTCATAACCTTCTTGGTTTCAGGGAGCAGCTGCCTTGTTTGACATAATGGAGTACTATGAATCAGCTGTACGTCTCAGTATCTCCTTCAGCGCCCACATTGGCAGTAGGGGCTGGATGGCGGCAGCTCAACTCATCAGAAAGGTAACAGCTCGTTGTGGTTCTGCAGTTAGGTCTCCGTGCATGCTCCCCAATACAAATTTATTGGTAAATAGTTAACTGACGACAGACCAACCAGTCTGACTCATCGGCAGGACTTGGAGGGAGCTGCTGAGAGCTGGCATTCTTCCCTCTCAGGTCCTGTTAACCCTGCAAGCCAAAAAAGTCTTGGCTTGGATGATCCTCGCTGGACAAGCAGCGGAAAGCTTGGAAAACAATTGGTTTGATGGGTAAATTATGTGGTTTTAGCTGGACTTCAGCAGTTACCCCAACGCACATACTGGGGTCTAACCGGGATATACTATCCGGGATTAGGTAAGCAGGGCGTGTTCCATTTGGAGCACAGAGACATTTCCACGTGTTGGTAGCACGCACACCACATGTGGGAGTCTCAACCTGGTTCGGACACCATTATCCACAGTGACGGGTTTCGGCATGTGTTAGACACCCAGCTGAGCATAGCATTTTAATACGTTCTTCACAGGATCAGGTCTTAACTCAGATTGCCTTAAGACATGCCGCAATTCCGCACCTCCTCACATCGCCTGTAAGTAGCCCTTCGATGGCTTTAGGAGTTTAGGTCGGACTGGGTTTGCTCATTGTGCTGACAGACTGTTCTTAATATCCTCAGAGCAGCTGCTTGAGAGAGTTTGAGGCATGTGGGGTGGCATTGACGGAGCACCCTTGCCGGTACATGACAAAGGCCCTTCGCTTCAGCCAGAGTCTGGTGGGTCTGCGTTTGGAGGATGCTGGACTGAGTGGTCTCCCTCTGATGTTACTGGGTGAGCTTTTACTTTTCCTTACTCACCTTCAATTCCCTCCACGGTCTTGCCCCGCCCAAACTCTGCCGCCTCCTCAAACTCTACTGACCAGGACGCTCTCTTTGCTCAACGGGCACTGGCCGGTTTTGCATTCCCTGGATTCCCCCCCATTGGATTCACAGCAGCTGATAACTGTGCAGACCAGTGGATAGTCAACAGAGTGATGTCCAGTCTGTCGGGCATCTCCAGAAAGATCTTCAACTGAACACCGTTCACTAAGCTCTGACTTAGTTTCTGCTGAGATGTTGTGGATCAACATAGCAATGATTACATTCCTCTGTTCCCGCTTCCCCTCAGTCTCTGCTCTGAAAGTGAACCGGACCCTGCAAGAGCTCCATCTGGCAGACAATCAGCTGAACAGTCTCCAAGATGCTATGCAACTGGGAGAGTTGCTGAAGTGCAACAGCACCATCAGATTGCTGGACCTTAAGAACAACTGTATCTCCAACGCAGGTAGATAATAAAGCTGCACTATCAATTCATCAGGTTCCTTCAGTAACCGCACCAATGTAAATATATCTGGCAGTTTGTTACCCTGTCTTATCCTGTTGCTACCCCCTCCAAAACTTCCTCTTTCAACAAACAAGTCTCTACTCTCATTTAGATACTCGCCTGCGAAGACTTTTTGGTCTTAAAGCTCCAGATGTTTCACTGTACTCTGCATGAAAACTGGGATTGTGGCTTGCGGGTTATTTGCACACAGGAACCTTTTTGGGTTTCAGTGGGAAGCCCCGGTTTGTGTTTGCAATAATTTCTCCATTTGCCACAAATCACTGGCGTGCAGAATTGCATGACAAGCTACAGCACATGAGCTATAAGGGCTCATAAGGTTACAAGATTCAATAAGAACTTTCAAAAGAGAATAGCATAAGTATTTGAAAAGGAAAAACGTGGGGAGAGAGTGGGGCAGAGGGACTGTATTGGGTAACTCTTCCAAAGTGCTGGCACAGGCACAATGGGCTGAATGGCCTCCTTCTGTGCTGTAATATTCTATGATTCGGTCACGAGCACTGACTGAGTGCAATGTGTTTCCAGGCCTGGAAGACATCTGTGGGGGTCTCAGAGAGCAAAGGCACGGGCTGAGGACACTTGTGCTTTGGAACAACAAACTGACACGTAAAGGGATGGCTCACCTCGCAGCCACCCTGGTAAGTTAACCAATTTGGCCAAAAAGCACAGTTATAATAATAATAATAATCCTTGCATTTGATTTGGCACTTTTCACATCGGGAGGACGTCCCAAAGCGCTTCACAGGATATACTGTAAAGCGAATTGACTGTGTATTTTGCGGGCCAGTCACAGCAGCCAATTGCGCACAGCAGCATCTCACAAACAGTGGTGGATTAAGTGACCAAATTATTATTTTAGAATGAAAGCACCGTAAATTCTTCCCAACGTTCCCAGTGCATTTTGAGTAAGTTAAAGGGGATCTGAGGCCTGAATTTCCCTCCTCTCCACCCCTGGTCAGGGCCTGTGAAAACATTTCTTTCTTAAAATTTAAGATGGTGCAGAAATGTGGAAGGTCTCCAGGTGAGCAGGTACTTTTCAAAATAACTGGAAAACCGGCTCCGATTTCTTTTAATGAAAATCTTTTTCTTTGCAATAAGTCTCTGGTGTTGCAGTCTTCTCACTTAATAATACTAATAATAATAATCCTTGCATTTGATATAGCGCTTTTCACGTCGGGAGGACGTCCCAAAGCGCTTCACAGAATATACTGTAAAGTGAGTTGACTGTATATTTGTGGGCGAACGCGGCAGCCAATTGCGCACAGCAATGTCCCACAAACAGTCATAGATTGAAAATGACCAATTAAATTATTGTTTTTGTTTTTTGGAGGAATTATTATTAGGCTCTGTGTGGAGTAAGGAAACTTGCCCAAGGTTTCGCCCTGACTGGAATTGAACTCAGGTCTCTTGCTTGCAAAGCGAGTGCTCTAACCACTGAGCTACAGGACTCCGACTTATTATTTCCATGGAAGTGAATAACTTTTACTGAACGCAACGCTTTCCACTTAATTACAGAAGCATGATTTTCTGTACAAAAAAAACATTTTAACAGCTTTCCACGCGTAACCTGCGTGTTCCCTGGTTTGTGTTTGTTTCTCTGTTTCAGCACTATTCTAGGTGTCAGCCTGGCTCCGCCAGTCGCTCTTTACGTCTCGAGTCAGAAGGTTGTCTGTTGAAAGCCCTGTATGGTAACTCTCAGCTCACATTCCAGGCTGATGCTTCAGTCAGTGCAGTGCTGAGGCATTGGCAGAGGTGCTTGTGCTTCGGATGAGATGTTAAACCGAGATCCCATCCGCCTGCTCAGGTGGACGTTAAAGATCTCTGGGCGCTTATATGAAAAGCGAAGGGCGTTTTTTCTGGTGTCCTGGCCAACAATCTTCCAAATGAAAATCCATCATTCACTTTGCGGCGGTGTGTCAGGGCGTGGCAATGCGCAAACGGATGCCGCATTCGCCTGCAAGATGCACGGTCACTACGCTTCACAGTAAAATCCCGCGAAGCGCTTCGAGACATCTTGCTGGCGTGATTAAGCCGCTGTGTCAAATGCAAGGATCGTTATTAGATACTCTCCACCCCCCCAACAAAACTAGAGAGTTATTTTCTTTCCCCCCACCCCGTTTCCTCTTCGACCGTGTGTGTGTACGGTCGCCCCCGCCCTGCTCCGCCACTGTCAAGCCCCCCCGGGACTCTACCCTGCGTGAGGGGCGCTAAATAAATGCAAGTTGTTGTTAAACAAAATGCAAAATATTGCGGATGCTGGAAATCTGAAACAAAAACAGAAGTGGCCGGGAACACTCAGCAGGTCAGGCAGCATCTATGGAGAGAGGAAAGTCAGGCAACGTTTCGGGTCCACGACTTTGTCTGCTCTGACGAAGGGTCGTGGACCCGAAAAGTTGACTGACTTTGCTTTCTCCATAGATGCTGCCTGACCTGCTGAGCGTTCCCGGCCACTTCTGTTGTCGTTGCTGTTTGTGAGAGAAGCAGCCATTAAAAAACCAGCAGCAGATTGCAATGCCCTGACCCTCTGAGCCCCACACATTCATTTCCCTCGCGTTTGCCTTCATGAGCAACCACAGATATCGCAGGGCTGTTTGTGCAGATTATACCCCGTCCGTCTGATTTCTTATGTGTTCTCGCGGCTGATTGATTAATTACACGAGCTGCCTGCTTTCAGAAAATACTCCGGTCCTGACCCCCATATGCAATTAAAGAGCAAGTGCCACAGTTTGGTGAAATAGCAGCCAGATAACGCACTGGTTCTACAGTATATTGCACCCACTTTCCTCTCTCTCTCTGCTCAGCCCCTGCCTCCCCTCCTCCGCTAATTCATTCCTCTTACCCACCTACCCACCCTCTCCCCCCCCCCACCCCACTCCAGGCTAAAAATATTCATTGATAAGAAACAAAACAAACCACGTAATCTGACAATATATGGTGCGGAAAAGGGAGACAGATAAAACCCTCCCCCACGTGAAATTACACATAGAAACACAAAATAAGACTGGGAGCTTTTAGTCCAGGTGCCATCTCCCTGCGAGGACTTTGATTAAATAATACATGCCTCGTATAAAAGCGTCAAAGGCCGATCTTGTACTGTGTGATTAGGAGGCATTCTTAAAGCTGTGATTATTGTAATTAGTGCACAGTGTCAATTGAGTTCAAATGATGACACTTGTAAAGTGTTATGAAGGCACTTATTATCCTTATAAACAGTTATGCCCCCCCGCCACCAGTGAGAACGGCAGACGAGTCACTTTATATGATGAAAGAATCCGTCCTTTCAAAAAAAAAATCTCCACAAGAATAGATATATATTTTTAATCGCGTCGTTCAACTTTGTTCTTTCCTTTCCAACTGGGGCCAAAAGTTCTCCTCACTGTGTTGGCCTTTATCTGCTTGGCTCTTTGTGTGCGCTGTGTTTGACTGTGCAGCGGAGAATGATTTTAGCCCCAATATCTCGCTCAATGTGCATGTGACGATGGAAAAGTTAAAGGGCAATCAAATCCCTCCCCCCAATTAAAATTGATTACTCGCTTTAGGGCTGTTTGTGGGGACATTGCTGTGTGCAAATTAGCTGTGGCGTTCCCCTACACAGTCACTACACTTTACAACAACAACACCACCAACAACAATTTGCATTTATACAGCGCCCTTCATGTGGGGTAGCGTCCCCGAGCTCTCACAATAACGTCTTAATATAACATCTCAAGCTCTTTGAGACGTCCTGCTGACACTGTGAAAGGCACTACATTAGGAGATGCTCTTGTTATTAATGTGTATCCTGCGCCTTGCAACCGAGAGCCATCTGTGGTAATGTGCTGACTCCAATGTCTGGCATTTGATGGCAAGTTCAAAGGAACACAGAGTCCAGGTGAAATTTAAAAAAATACTTGCGTTCAGCGGAGCATCGATCGATCGATCTGCCTCGAAGTGCGTCACTTTGGAAGCAGGGTGAAATGTTGTGGATGCAGGGCAGCTAACCTGGACCAACAGCCACCCAGCAATGAGCTGAATGATCAATTCAGTCTGTTTACTAATGAATTTGAATAAGGGAAGGATATAATTGGCTGCAATAATGATGTTCATGTGTGTGAGGCAAAGAGAAAGAGAGAGACACTCTCTAATCTTTTTCACAGGTGCTAAGCCTATCTTCAAATAAAGGGCCTCTGGAGTGACATTTACCTCTGTTTAAGTTTGCACTGCTTGTTCTTCACTGTTTGCCTAATTCGCAATTTTCTATCAATGAAGACCACATGAAGCAGATGTGCTCAATTAAGACAGCGAGAATTGGTTTAGTTCAGTTTAACTCAGTCAAATAATGAGCGGAAGGAAGCTCGCAATGCAACTTCACATCAACCCCGACACAGAGCTTTCTTAAGGGATGTGGAGGAAAGGAAATGGGGTTAAAACATCTGCCACCATACAACAAAATGGTGGAACAGGCTTGACGGATTCTCTGTTCTTATCATGTTAATTGAGGCTTTTGAAGATTTTTTATCTTTATTTGTCGACGAAAGATGGGATTGTGAAGCGGGATCTAAATGCACCAGAATTCCTTAATTTCATGGTTTCAAGGCTGACAATATGAATCATAATCATAATAATAATAATAATCCTTGCATGTGATATAACGCCTTATTACCGCTTTTGAACATCTCAAAGCCCAAAGTCAAAATAATAACCAAATTTTCTTTTAAGGGATTATTACCCCCGGAAAAAGTGATCTGCCAATCGACTAACAATCGGGTTCCAGCTTACTCCGGGGTAAACAGAGGCGCGAGTGTGGAGTAAGGAAAACTGCCTCACATTATGCCCCGCCCGGAATTCGAAAACTGGTCCTCTCGCTTGCGAGGCGAGTGCTCCAACCTCTGAGCTCCAGAGCTCCACTGTAGTCTAGAAAGCTCCGCAAAATCCTTCCTTATTATGGTGCCTCGAAACACGTAGCATCAGAAGCTGCCGTATTGACATGTATTGGACCTCTCCAATGTCACTGGGAGCGTCTGTAATAACTGGCCCATGTTCTTTGCACTACCGCCATGGAATCCGAGCCAGTCTTGTAAATGGGACAGAGGTACATAACTCATGGGAAGAGAAATATTACGAGGTACATCAGTCCACTTAAATGTAATATAATCCAGTCAGCCCCTGGCATACAGAAGATATATTTCAATGTCTTCAGACTAACCATGGATGATCTCCAATATGCTGCTCAGAAGGTTTTGCCAGATTACTATAATACCCTGCGTTCACCACGGGGTAGGATTCTGGTAGACCTTAAAGAGAATATATTACAGACTCGTCGGCAAAGACAAGCCAAGGCAGATTTATCAATTGTGCCAAAGAATAAGTAATCCTTACTTTTGATATAGCGCCTAATCAAGTTGTCGAAAAGGCTCAAAGCGCTTCACAGGATTCTTGTGCTTACATTTGTTGGCAAATGTCAGCTGTAGCCACAGCAATGTCCCACAAACAGTCATCATCATTATTATTATTATTGTTCAAATAAACTTTCAACAATAACCATAGTTTTTTTTCAGAGAGGAATTGTCAGATGAAGTGTATATGTGTTTTATATATAATAATAATAATCTGTGCATTTGATACAGCGCCTTATCACATCTTCAGGACATCTCAAAGCGCTTCACAGAATTTACTGTAAAGTGGAGTGGCAGTCTATTTTGCGGGCAAAACACAGCAGCCGATTCCGCACAGACATGAGGCATCTTCCCGTCAGAAAGCCTTTAAATAATCATGGTTCTCAATTGCTCCATTCAATACATGCAGCCAATTCATTGGTGTCAAGGACGATTTCATCTCAGTTATTTATAAGTGCCCGGCCACGAACAGGCTAAACTTAAAGCAAACAGCACCGGATAGCTCGAGAGATAGCTCAGTATTCAGCAACAGTGATGAAACCCACCCAATCTGATAAGCAAGACGACTTAATGGAGCATCCCCTTTTTTTTATCATCCCTAGCCTTTTGTTTTATAGATATGTGAGCGTCTTTGTTAACACTGACGTCACTGAGAGATATACCCTGGGAGGAGTTACGGAGCCTGATGCTAAGAGGGAGCTGATTAATATCAGCAGAGCCGCACTTGTGGGAGTTTGGGTCTGACTGTGCGCTTGTAACCGGAATTGTATTGTTAGACGACTGGGAGAGCTGAAACAATAATAGCCCAAGTGCCGCCTCCTGTAGTGTGTTCTTTACCTGATTTAACATGTTTCTCGAGCTTGTTTGTGTGGCACTGACTCCCAGCCTCGGGCGCTGGATGCATTCAGTTGCTAGAGCTCTTTACTGTTTACTCTGGGAAAGGATAGTGTGCAAAGCTTGTAAGTTGGAAACAGCGCATGTATTCAGTGTAGCAGAGTTTGGCAGTTTTATGCTGCATTGGATTAAAATAAAACGCTGTTCCTTCTCTCTCTCTCTCTCTATATATATATGTATATATGTATATTTATATAAGAGATGGAAATAGAGAGGGGTTAAAATAGAGAGAGTGTGAGAGAGGAACAGGGATAAAGATATGGAGAGAGTGAGTGAGAAATAGAGAGCGAAAAAAGACTGTTTGAGGGACGCTGCTGTGTGCAATTGGCTGCCACGTTTCGCCCCCAAAACATACAGTCACAGCGCTTTACAGTATATCCTGTGAAGCGCTTTGAGACGTCTCAATGACGTGATAAGGCGCTGTATCAAATGCAAGGATTATTATTATTATATATTCTTGCCTTGTAACCTGGGGGGGCAGTGGTAAGAGTGATGGTTTATGGACTAGCAGTGCACTGGTTCGAATCCCCAGGATATACTTTAAAGTGTAGTGACTGTGAATTTTGCAGCCGACCGCTGGCTTGCCTGCAAAATGTATACAGCTAATTTTATTTGTTTTTGTTTTTCAGCCTCACTTAACTGCTCTGGAGACTCTGAACCTCGGACATAATTACCTAAACAATGAAGGAATCTTCAGGCTCAAAGAAGCCTTGATCGCAAACCGATCGATTGTACGTCTGGGACTGGCATCCACCTCGATAACTTGTGAAGGTAAAAAAAGTTACATACCCAGCCTTTGCACAAAGCCCCGTTAACCAATCCCCATTAATGTCCTGTAGATTATTATTATTATTATTATTATTATTATTATTAACGTCAAAGGGGACAAGTACTAGCCTCAGTTTATCAGCGTATATATCATCAGTCGCCACATACAAAACCCCGGTTAAATGCTAATAATCTTTGCATTTGATATATTTGATACAGCGCCTTATCACGTGGGTTGTGTAACCAATTTATTATTATTGTTATTACCCCCCCGGAAAAGCGATGCGCCAATCGACTAACAACCGGGTTCCTACTTACTGTTGGGTGAACAGTGGCGGGTGTGTGGAGTAAGGAAACTTGCCGGAGGTTTCGCCCTTAAATTTGGTCTGTTTTAAATCTCCAGGTGCCATAGCAGCGGCTGAGTTTGTAGCCGAGAGCACTGCGCTTCTCAGGCTCGATCTCCGCAGGAACAGGATTGGGACGGCAGGTCTCATGGCCCTCTCACTTGCCCTGAAAATCAATGACTCGCTGGTCAGGCTTGACCTGGAGACTGAGATAAAGAGAGAGACAGTGAGTAACTGCTTCACACCACTTTGTGTGAATCCCCTTCTCTCCTCTCTTCAAGTCCCCCCCACCAGCCCACCACCACGATCCCTGGCTAGTGACTGACCTCCGGAGGTGGGGGGGGGGGGGGGGGCGGGGAGATAAGTGGGAGGTAATCCCGTCTGAAGTTTGATTTTAAATAAAAAAAATTCCTAACTAAATCAAAAAAATCACAACAACAACAACTTGCATTTATATGGCACCCTTCACACTGGGTAGCATCCCAGAGAGCTTGCACCGCCTGGTGGCTTGTCTTCTGATCAGGATCAATTGTTGAGGTTCAGTGACTTGTGCTGTGTTACCCTTTAACTCAGGCTCGGAAAAGCCCCCCCCACCCCCACCCACCCACCCACCGTCGCTCCATTGAAAACAATGGAAGGTGCCGAGGACCAACACTAGGTCATGTTTCAGTTCCCCCGCCCCCCCCCAGAACTGGTACGTTTCTTATTCCTTTTAAGAAACCGTAAGACACTAAAGCTGAGGGAAACGCAACGAGCAAAACACTCTGGGCCGGATTTCATTTCCGCTTAAGGATGGAAATGACTGGCATGAGATATCAGATTGTGAGACAACAAAAAAAAACGTACTTACCGCAAATCAATTTCCAACATCTGTGGCAAGAGTAAATGCGATTCAAATGGATTTTCACGCCTTGGGACCCTCGATGACATGTACTTCAAATTGCTACACAATACTGTGTAATTGATGCACGTTTCCGAAGCTCAATGTATAGCCGTTTGGAAGTTTCCACTGCCGACCCTGGATTCCCCAGACCAGTACACTTGCCGATCAAGTGTTTGGTGAAAGAAACAGTTAAAGATGGAGTTTGGCTCACTGACCTGGTGGACTACTTTGAATTAGCTGCGTTCCTTCAGCGCACTCACTCTGGCGAGACCCTGGGCTCCTTTAATAATAATAATCCTTTTCAAGTCAGGAGGACATCTCAAAGCGCTTCACAGGATCCGCTGTCGAGCGCGGTGACTGTGTATTTTGCATGCAATTGCGCACAGTAATGTCCCCCAAACAGCCGTGAAACGAATGACACGGTTGTATTTGGGGGGATTGTTAGCCAGTGGTACTGGGACAGACTCCCTTCTCTTTTCGAGTAGCTCCACGGGATCTTTAACGTCCAGCTGCGCAGGCAGACGGGACCTCGGTTTCACGTCTCATCCGAAGGACGGCACCTCCGAAAATGCAGAGCTCGCCCTGAGCTGATTTGGAACGTCGCCTTGGCGGCGTGAGTCGAGTTAGCACGCGCAAGCCATTCGAGATCGCGAAACACACAGCCTCCCGCTCGGAAGTGACAAAATCCATCTGCGCGAGAGCTCAGCTGATTGTACGTTTTAAAATCCGTGAATTATTAGCAAAGGTGCGTGGTCTCCATTTACGCAAAACATTGAATAATTTAACCGGCTGGCTCTCGCCTCTTGCCGTACGCTCAGGCAAGGCGGGTGGAGGCAGCGGCTGGAGTTTGATGCCTCTGAAACATACTGACACGTTTTACAGTGAACGAAACGCGTCGACTCTCACCGTGTCACGGAGGAAATTATCTCCGTGACGGAATTGGCTGCTCAAGTGACCTTCTCACCATCGCCCTCTGTTTGTGATCCCGGCACTGAAACGTCGCGAAGGCCCAGTTTAGCTGAAATCCCTCACAGCTGTTAAGAAAGCGGGGGCTGGGGGAGTGGGACGGGAAACACACACGTCTACCTGACGTAAATGCAGAAGGTAAGGAAGCCAAATCGATCAGGATTTTGCTTTGTTGGCCTTGAGGTGAAGAGCACTTGATCGCAAAACGGTTTTGCAAGATTGGAAGATTACAAGATCGTTTCGGATGAAGATTTCAGCCCATCCCATCTCATCCCATCTCATTCCCTCGAAACGCCCTTCCAACCATCCTCCCACCACAGGATCAAGCTGTTTTTTTTTTTAAAATGAGTCCCAGATTTCCGGCCTCATCTTCCTCATCTGTCAACCCGTTCCGGTCATTAATTACTCTGGATGAAGAAATACTTCCTGGTGTCTGTTCTGAAAATGCCCTTTTTTTAGGGGTCGGTCGAGTGTCCGTCACATGTGGAAACCCATCACTAAAGGCTAAAATCTATCTCCTCTTGTTCGGTTGTCTTGGTACATCCTGAAGCATTGTTCCGGATAGTTGGGAGGAGGGTGGGACATTTTTTGAAAGCAAAAAAAAAATGACCGGTTTCAGTGTGCAGCTCAAAAGCACATCAACCCCAAAAGAGAGTTGCAAATCCAGCAATTGGAATATTTGCTTTACACACACACCCCACACACACACATCCACACCTGCACACACACACACACACACACACACCATCCCTCCTCTTCCTCCTCCCCCAGACTAATACAGCTGTGCCTTGTGTTGTCAGAAGACTGTGTCCCACAGCTGTCATTACACATGTTTTGATTTGCGGCAGGAGCCTCCCAGCTGTAGCGAGTGGCTTTAATGAATGCGAGAATCAAGCACCACTGTCCTCCCTGTTTAACAAAAAAAAAGACTTATTGAATTTAAGTAATTACAGTTCTCCACTTCCAGTTGCCAGGCAACCTAAACTCCCAACAATTAGATTCCCAGTTCTCCCTGAAGACTGCCGGGATATTACCAGCAGTTAAGCATCAAGCTGACCCAATAAAGACTGCCCCAGGTGAATTTCCAAGATCAAAAAGAAGGGGAAGCCAGCTTTGCTGCTCTAATAATTATACAATAGTTTAATTAGACAGGCACCAAATTCCTCCTTCATAGATATGATATGGATGTGAAGGGAGACTGTTAACTAGTACTCAACCAACCAGCTCAGGATCCTTTCTCTATCCCCTCCCCTCTCTCGCTCTCTCCCGACGCCCGAAGGGGTTTGACACCTGCATTGCTTCCTGGAGGCAATGTCCTTTCAAGAAAATAAACTGGACCCCGGGATTGAATGGGTGCCTTGAATTGCTCGAGCGATGTCAGTCATTACCTGTGATACACAAACACACACAAAGCGGAGAGAGGGGTTGTGGGGGGCGGGCAGTGGGGTCGCTGTGCTTAACAATGTCAATGTGGCGCAGCTTTGGTTGGTGCAGTTGGGAGTTTTAAAGTGCGCGGTGGTTCCTGATGTGATTCCTTAACCAGTTGTTGCTCAGACGCAGGGGAAACTTGTTCGGACGTGTTCTATTTCCACCGCTCGCTATCACACTGAACTGCCGCAAGGCACTTTCCACAGTGAATTACTGTGAAGTGTGTGCTGCCTGGCTTTACGTGTGAATTATTATCCGTGCTTTGACGTTGCACTATCAAGTCAAGCTCTGTGCCCAATTGGCTGCTGCGTTTCGCCCATAAAATACAGTTACTCCACTTTACAGTATTATATCCTGTGAAGCGTTTTGAGACGTCTCGGCGACATGATAAGTCCCTATATCAAATGCAGGGATTATTATTACTATTATTATGAAATGCACAGTCACTACACTTGAGAATTATTTCTGCTGCCGGGTGTGGAGAGAGAGTTGATTGGAGAGGTTAGTTTGCGTGTGGAGTTGATACGTCTGATATTGGAGGTAGTGTTGGTTTGTGTAGGAAGCTGAGGTAAGCACGTCTCAAGACCCTCCTCTTCGACCGCGTATTTGGCCACCCTCCTACCCCCACCCTCCCTACCCTGCGCACACCCCCACCCACCCCCCGTACCAACTCCCAGCTCGGGCCTAAATCCCTGACTGTCCAGTGCCTCGGGACGTCCTCCTGATGTGAAAGGCATTGTGTAAATGTCATTAGTTGTTGTTGTTGGCTGATGGCGGGGGCAGGGGGTGGGGGCTGGGTGTACCCCTTTTAGACAAGAGATCAGAAGCCACACATTAGTCTCTCTCTCTCTCTCTCTCCTTGAGATGGAGCTTCCTGGTGACAATATGGGTTTGTCTATCGACCCAGTTGAGTCCAAAGGTAGCAGGAAGCCTTCAGCAAGTGTGAGGTAGCTTCAGTTGAAAGCCTGGAACAAGAGAGAGAGAGAGAGAGAGTAAAACATCCGAAAATAAAACAAATGCTGCAAAACCCCTGCCACCCATCACCAATAAACCCTTTTCAAAATCCTCATTAACGAGAGGAGCTATTCAGCAATAAAAAAAAAGCCTTCTAAGGTGGACATTTATTTTTTTATACCTCTTTGCCAGCTGTTTTCTTCACATCCAGATTTAATATGCAATTGCATGCATTTGCATATTAAAGGGCTAATTAGCTCCTGAGAGCGTGTGTACGAGAGTGGTAATAATTAGTGTGATAACCGCCTGGGAACGCTCTCTGATGCCTTCTTGTAGAATCCTGTGCTGTGCGCTGGTCTCTGGGAGTTAGTACCGACCGTATGCAGTTTGTTCTTGGCTTTGTTCCCCTGCGCTCAGGGGCTGTACCTCGCAAGCCTCCACTCTTGTTCTCGTACTCTCTTTGAAGTGTCTTGTCTGATCTCGCTGAATGTCTGTCATTAAAGCCAAGATACCCAAGCCTTGGTGCCTGCCGCTATGCCGACAAGGAGATATTCCACTCTCGCCGCAGGAATCACGCTAAACAGTTGCCTCAGACGCTCTCGGGTTACTCTCAGCTTTTAACCCGTTCCCGCCCACGAAAACAAAAACCTCTGTTAGTAACACACATTGTTTGCCTCAAATGACCCATTCGATCAGACAGAGACAAAGCGCGTTCTGCTCTCTGTAGCTGCGCCAAGCTGCCTGGGACACCCCACTGCTATCAGTGTAACCCTGTGTCCCTCTGAGTCAGAAGGTTGTGGGTTCAAGCCGCAGGTCAGAGCTTGGAACCCATATAGTCTTTGCTGATGCTCCAGTGCTGTGCTGGGAGGAGGGAATGCAGCATTGTCAAAGGTGCCGTCCTTCAAATGAAATGTTGATAATAATCCTTGAAGTTGATACAGCGCCTCATTACGTATTCCAGACGTCTCAAAGCGCTTCACAGAATATATATATATATATAAAGTGAATTGACCGTGTATTTTGTGGGCGAAACGCGGCAGCCAAACATCTTTAAACTAAGGCCCCGTCTGCCTGGCCAGGTGAATGTTAGATACCGCATCACCTTTCGAAAAGAGAAGGCAGTTTCTCTCTGCCAGCGTCCCTGCCGACAATCCCCCACATTAATAAAACAGATCACTCACTCCATGGCTGTTTGTGGGGACGTTGCTGTGTACACATTGGCTGTCGCATTCGCCCACGAAGTAACACAGAGTCAGACCACTTTACCGTCAAATCCTGCGAAGCACTTTGAGACGTCGCGAAGATGCGATAAAACACTGTATCAAATGAAAGTCTATTATTTATTATAAATTTATAGCCCAGAAGAAAAATAGCTCAAACCTCACCCTAAACCCAAACCCAACGGCCTTGTTCCAGCCTCGAGTTCACCTCTAAATACCCCCCACCCACTCACCCCCACCCCCCGCTCCGTAACAGTCAGATTCTTACAGACAGAACACAGAGATTGAGGGAAAAGAGACAAAGAGGAAATCGAGAAGCAATGGGAAAGGAAGTCGCAGAGAGAGAGAGAGAGAGAGAAATTAGATTCCCAGTTCTCACGATCTTGGACTGTTGCCTTTCAGTCTTCATTCTCCGGCAAAGAGCAGCTTGTAAGGAGCGAAAACTGGGAGGAAGAAATTCCACTTATCTAACAGGAACATTGACAGCTTATTTCTGTTACCTTTTTTTTTAAAATCTTTTCCTTTTTAAAGTTGCCGAAATACTTACTCGAATATGATCCGCAGGGGGACGTCTTTGGCAGACCACTGGGCAGATGGGGGTGTGTGTGTGGGTGGTGGTGGGTGGGGGGAGAGGGAGGTGGTCTTAGATTTCACAGCCACTTTATTTCCATATCTTATTTCAATTGGGAATTGGTGATGAATTAAAATGATTGCAATGCAAGCTTGGCCACGCAGTTCCACGACGTGCCCGACAGTGGCGCTGTCGAACTGGCAGCAGAGTTGGGTTCGATACCGACCAATTCTTCCCCATCCCAAGATTGACGATAATAATAATAATAATAACAATAACAATAATAACAATCCTTGCATTTGATACGGCGCCTTCTCACGTCGTCGAGACGTCTCGAACGCTTCGCAGAATACACCTGTGGAGTGGAGTGACTGTGTATTTTGTGGGCCCTTCTCTGAACAGAGCCCAACTCCTGAACAGAAGAAGGACGATGCTTCTGCAACGTAAATGAACTCCGCACATGGGGCGTGATGATTACAAGCCTTCCGTTCGAGTCAACACATTTTTTTTTCATTCCCTCTGTGGGACCATTCGTACATTAGGCATTAGCACTGAAATATTAGCATAGTGCTGCTACCTTATCAAATATTTATATGTTATTCAATGGCCATCTCTCTCTCTTGCTCTCTCTCTCTCTCTCGCGCGCGCTCTCTCTCTCTCACATATCCCTGGGGCAACAGGGGGTCGGAGTGAAGTGGCTGAAAGCACGGTCACCGATAGTGGAACGGAGGGGAAGGATGGACGTGCAGGGGCTCAGCCTCTTCGTGTCTTTTGCTCTTGTAGTTTATTGTTGCCAGCAGTTACTCTCTCTGCACTCTCACTCCAGTCGCTCAATGTAGAATCTAAAATGTGTCCAAAACACACCGGCAATTCTTTCCAAAGTCCACGGCTGTTTGTGGGGACGCTGCTGTGAGCAATTGGCTGCCGCGTTTCGCCCATAAACTATACAGTCAATTCACTTTATAGTATATCCTGTGAAGCGCTTTGAGACATCACAACGACATGATAAGACCCTATCAACATATGTCAAATGTGAGGATTATTATTATTATTTATTACAAAGTAACCCTGCTATTTATTTAAAGGGATTTCAGGGACGATAAATACCTGAGACTAAATTAATGGAGTCTCTTAACTTTTTCAGCGCTCAGATAAACTTTGTAGACCAACGCAAATAATAATGATTTCTTTTCATAAAAATATACATTCAAATAATATCAAACAAATAAAGAATAACAATGTGGTCACTTAATCCACGGCTGTTTGTGGGGACGCTGCTGTGCGCAATTGGCTGCCAGATTTCGCCCACAAAATATACAGTCAATTCACTTTACAGTGTATCCTGTGAAGCGCTTTGAGACGTCTCAAAGATGTGATAAGGCGCTGTATCAAATGCAAGAATTATTATTATTATTATTGTCATTATCATCATTATAAACAATTGTTTCTGTGGTGGGAGAGGCATCAGTCGGAGGATTAAAGATTATTAAAAAAAATCTCCCAGCAGAAATGGTCAATGCAATGGCTTTGCTGCATTAGTATCTAATCGAGTGTTTCAGAAATCCGTTGCCCCATCATTATTGCTATCTGGGCATTTGCTGCACACTCACAGATTGTGCCTTTCTGTCCCCTGGGGTTTACAGCTAATGGCCTTCGCGTACGCACTTGGACAGGTGTATGGGAGGGGATGGCGGGTGTGAAGAGGGCAGGATGTTGCTGACAGCACTCGGGGGCCACGGTAATTACTGTCACAAAGCTGGCCACGCACCTGATGTCTACCTGTGGGCACAGCTCCCAGCTCTGGGCATTGGAGGGATTGTGTGGTTTGTCCTTGAGTCAGTAGCTCACAGCTGTGCTCTTCAGCCTCATCCAATCCCCCCCTCCCCACCCTCCCTTCACCCCCCCCTCCATCACCACAATACTTATCTGGAACAGAAAAGGCTAGTCACTGGGCTAACAGTAACAGCGTACTCCAGTATTGCTCTCAATGAGCTTCACATCAATGGCAGATTTGTTCTCAAAGCTGGTGATATAACAACTTGCCTTTTTATAACATCTAAATGTCTCCGAGTGCACATAATCTGTTGTAAAGGACATTGCCTGTTTTACTGGTCATTCTGTCTTGTTAATGGCCATTCTAATGACAACATATAATAATAATAAGCCTTGCAGTTGGTACAGCGCCTTATCAAATCTGCGAGATGTCTCAAAGCGCTTCACAGGACATGCTGTAAGCTGAATTGATTGTATATTTTGTGGGCGAAACGCGACAGCCAATTGCGCACGGCAGTGTCCCCCCACACAGTGCGTTCCGTATTAGCAACGTGTCTTCTGATGGGTACAGTGTCTTGTAATAGCCAATGCGTCTTGTGACGAGCTTCGTGTCTCTGTGATGAAACCCGAGGGAACTCCGCTCTGGAGCCATCTCGTCTCCGCAGCTGTCACCCAAAACTCTAAATTATGAGGAGAGGTCTCAGTGTTGATGGTGTTTTCATTGGTGAGACGCAGATTGAGAAGCGAACATATTGAGTTCGCTGAAGAGTGTGGGCAACGTGGATGTAAACAGGTTACTTAACTTCCAACGTGTGATTGCAGGAACGGAAGGCACCAGCCGGAAATTTGGCAAACCCCCGGCTCCGTGGCTTGTTTCTTCCTCCTTAATGTTTGTTGTTAACTGTTCAACACAGAAACTGCAAAGTGCTGCTCCGAGCCAAGCACATGGCGGGCTGGTTAGATCCAGGTCCAACCACACCCTCCGGGGAAGAGACTAATGCAATGGAAGAACTTTCTGCCAGATGGACGGGCGTGAGGGCTGAGCTGGGTCTGTCTCAGTGCAGCACGGGTTAGCAAAGAAACACCCTCACTCTCTCCCGCCCCCCACCCCACCCCACGCCCGCTCTCCCTCACCCACACACCCCCTTGATTCCAAACACCAAGTTGGCACGGTCACCCTGAGTCTGAGAGTGTGATTCTGTTCCACTTGCTGAAAGTCACAGCTCTGTCGAGGCGCCCTGGGCTATTCTGCCCTTCTCTGCCGATTTGCCGGCTTGTGCCCTTACAACAGTCTGTGATCGCATTTCTACAGTCTCAGTGACATTGCAATAGAGCCTTGGCTGTTCGTGGGACCTGCTGTTCGCAAATTGGCTGCCGTGTTCGCCTACATATAAGAAGCCACTGTACTTGACAACAATTACCTGGGAAGCTCATTGATGTGTTTCTGCGTCACACAAAATACACAGTCACTATACTTCACAGTATATTCCTTGAAGCGCTTTGAGACGTCTCGAAGGCGTGATTGAGGCTCTATATCAAATGCAAGGAATTTTATTGTTCTTATTGTCACACACAAAGGCCAGGATTATGAATTATAATTATTGTTGTGCATGTTGCTTGGGCTCAGATTTACTCTCCTGATAGTTTCGTCACGTATTGCATTATAAAAACCCGAATTATTTTCAGGCAGGTCTGGAATAAAAGCAACATGTGACGGAAGCTCAAATACAACCTCGACTCGTAATAATAATTTATTAACAATAATAATTGTGTTTGATTATAGTGCCTTATCACTTTGTTGAGACGTCTCAAAGCACTCACAGAGTATACTGTAAAGTGGATTGACTGCGTATTTTAATCATTGTGTTTGATATAACGCCTTTCACATCGGGAGGACGTC